AAAAAAATATTTTTAAGCAAATCATGTAGTTTTGAAATAAAATATTAATTTAAGTTACACTATTAAATTCAAATAGTACATCAGCTTCACACACGACACCGCATCATGACTCCATATCAAACTGTTTTCTATGTTAAATCTCTCGGGACATATAACGCGACAGAAACTAGACAAGCTCTATATTTATATTAAAATAACGTAAGAAAGGATAGAGACACCGCATCATGACTCCATATCAAACTGTTTTCTATGTTAAATCTCTCGGGACATATAACACGACAAGAAGTCGACAAGCTATATATTTATATTAAAATAATGCAAGAAAGAATAGAAGATTAAAGTATTTTATAAGGATATATTGAGCCTACACATACACAATCTTTTTTCAATTAGATTTTTCCAGATGTCATTGTAAGATCCCATACATCTTACTTAATGAATATATGTATGTATGTATGTATATATGTATGTATGTATGCATTAAAAGTCGTGTAATGAAATCCTGGTAATTGTATTTATACCATCAAACAGTGTTGATGTTCCCTATTAAAACTTCAAATATTTAGCCATTCAAGCTTATAAAAATAGATAATTTTGCCTTCACAATATTAAGGGGGATTTTCAAGCTCTATTAAAAAAGAAAACAATCTCTCACGTCTACACTATGAAGTCCAACATCTCCTTGGAGTTTCCCTTTTTAACACTTCGAGAATAAATTAAAGTAATATTTTATATTGTCTTAATACCCACGTCACGTTCCACCGAGTCTTCGTTATGACCATGCACGCACCTCCAACTCATCGATATCCAGTCTTTAAGTGCTTTATTCATTATGTTAAAAATAAATAAAATATTTAAAAGTTATTATTATGATGTATTTATAATTAAAAAATATTTTTTTTAAATATGATTATCCCATACTATTAAATAGTCTAAATAATCAAACGAAAAGACAATAATTTTTACAAAGACTTTGTGCATTGAAACCTTGTATACCCATCTATGATGTTAATGAAATTGAATATATATAACATGTTGATAATGTCTTGGAAAAAATCCACACATGAATTAGAATTTTCGTGGCTGGATTTATGGAATTGATTGGTCGTGAAAAAATAAATCATACAAGAAATAGAAAACTCTCTAATATTCAAGACAATATATTTATACAAATGAAAAAAAATACATTAAAATAAAAATATAATAAGGGCTAAGGAATACATACCTGGCTGGAAATGATATGAAATAAGTTGGTTTGGCTTGTCTTTCAATGGTTTCATCTGGCTTTAATGGCTTTTGAATGACTTTGATTAGTTTTTTTTTTTTTTTTTGCTAAAAATTGTTTTTTTCTAGCTTTCATACTTGTGATTGTGATTGAGTATTTATATTAAAATTTGGAATTTCTTCATGGAAAAGTAATTGCATCATTAGTTAAAAAATTAATATTGTATTGGTTTAGTTATTCATGATGACTTTTAATTGATATCGCATGTCATGGTTATAGTTATCAAAAGTTACATTAATTTAAAATTTTAAATTATTAGATAAATTTTAAAAATATAATTTATATAATTTTTTAATAATTTTTCTCCGGTGGGTGAGAGCTTCTTGACTTAAAACTTTCACATGTATATATTATTTTTTACTTGATTTTTATTAAAGAAAATAAAACTAATAAAATTTATAATTATAATTATCTAACCCCAATAATACCATATCTAAGAATAATTATATCATGCATCCTACAAATGAAAAAAAAGGGGGTTATTGTAGGCCAGTGGCTAGAAAAAAATAACTGCTTTGCTTAGAAAAAGTCATGTGCGCATATAAAATTTGTGCGCAGGAGAAGCTTGTACAGAATTAAAGGGTAGGATCGATGCTCGGACCAAGACTACACCGAGCTTGGGTAAATCTTTAGCTAAAAATTCCAGCTACTTGTGCCAGCCCTTGAAAAAAAAATTCTTTTTATTTTTTCTTGTATCATCACATGTGTTTGTTTATTGTCCATACAACAAAACTTGTATATACAAATTCATAGCATGTCTATCGTCAAGTCTTCTTTCAGGAATCAACTGAACTCTTCCGACAGCGGATGACCACAGATCTTTGAATGGGAATGAATGATTCTCTAGTTCGAGAAAACTGTAAATTGCTTTCTGCTAATGCTGGGAACTTTTACACGGCCTGTTGATCTCTCAACGGGCATGCCTTTTTTCTTCTATTTTAATTCACAATGATTTATTTTCTGAGACGTCGATGCTCGAAAAGCACAGTGACAAACACCTGGCAAGACCTTAGAAAGTACTGTGTCGTGTGATTAAAAAATGAAAACAGAATTAAAGGGTGGCAGCAAGATTTTTAAATTTTCAGGTAAGGAATGGTGTCGTTTTACTACACATCAATGTCATCAACTAACGATCATTTTTTTGGGCTAGGAAAGTGGAACTTTTCTGTACGAGCCACGCCACCAAAGCTTTGTCGGCAGGGAAATAAGAGGACGATAATTAAAAATATAGGAAGCTAAAATGTTTTACGCTTGCCAAACAAGCAAGCTACCATTGCTGTCAAATTTTAATTACCAATTAAATAACCAAAATTTAATATACAAAGAGGAGGGCTTTAGCTCTGTTCTTGTTCTGAGTCAGCGAGGTTAAACGATGTCCACTTCACACGATGGACAAATCGACCTATAGCGCAAAACCCACCACTAAATGATAATTTAAGAAGGCTGTCGCTGTAAGTTGTTGTTTGGTATTGTACTATTAGTTATTTTTAAAATAATTTTTGTTTGAGATATATATATATATATATATATTATTTTATTTATAAAAATTATTTTTAATATCTATATATCGAAATAATTCAAAAAATTAAAAATTTTAAATTAAAATAATTTTAAAAATAAATAATTAGCCGTATATCCAAACAACCTCTGAAAATTACGTTGAGAGAGAGTTGAATATTTTTGATGCCTGACATGATTGCGCCCTCGCCTTACAATTTCTGTTTCCTGGAGAAACAAATAAAATAATACTCCCTCGTCCGTTCCAATTTGGAATGAGACCAGACGAACACTAGAGCGGGTAAGTTAAAAAAGAAAAAACGAAAGGACCTGTGCTAGGATATTGAAGTCATTGAATATCAGCTTACGACTATATATCACTCCTACATTTAGGTTAATTAATTAATAAATATAGTATCTCATCTAAGTGTTTGAGATTCAAAAGGATACTGATACATACCCTATATATACTTGTAGTACCGCTGTATATAAAAAAAATTCATTTGACGAAAAATAAAAATAGTTTAAATTAAAATGAAATTATTTTCATTAGAAAAATGTCCGGATCTCGTCCATAAATAAGTAGTCTTCCATCCTATTTAAGAAAGCAAAAATAAAATGGTTTTTCATCACTGGCTTGCCTTGCCCCGCCCCAACAACCACTGTCGGAGGTAAACTGGAAAACAATTGGTATAAAGATTATTATCGCCCACCGTGGGGCTCGAACCCACGACCACAAGGTTAAGAGCCTTGCGCTCTACCAACTGAGCTAGACGGGCTTCTTGTTGAAAGGTAAGGAGTTAGATATATAGATAAATCTGTGTACCAGCTAAAAAATAAGAATTTAGAAGGACTCTGTCGAACAGGAACTATTTTATATGCCCGTTTGGGCCTAAAACTCTGCCCATAATCTCATCCTTACCCAGCCCATCTGAATCCCATCACATCTAATAAAACAATGTTTGAACTCTAGGCAAATAATATGACACGTTGAGCCGTTCTCCTTCTCCTTTATTTTTTTTAACCTTCTTCGGAAAAAAATAAAAACGAATAAATAGCGTTTTAGAGGTTGCAATAAAGTACGTGCAAACCTGAATATGAGGTAAACAGTTCTCCTCTCCTTCTCTTATAATCACTTGTGAGAACGAGAGTTGTATTCTAGAAATGCTTTTTTAGTTACTTGATTATTTGTTATTGTTTTAGCAAATTTAAAAGATGAAAAAAAAAGAATGAAAATGTAAAATTATTAATTATTTCTATAAAATTGGAACCACCAAAAATAAAAAGTAACACGATTGGACAAAGTAGCTGCAGTGGATTGATTCCATGTTTTGATGCAATGAATTCTTTTGGCATTTTCTTGCTGGAGAGAATATCATCTTATTTTATTTTATCATGAAACATCCAACACAAGATAAAAAAATTTAATATTGAAGAATGACAAAGCAACATCACAAAACGATTTTTTTATTTTTATTTTTAAACAATTTTATTACATTGCTGTTTCTGATTTTACATTATATCAATTCAATCCTTCACCTATGTATTTATTTTTAAATATATTTCATGCCTATAAAACTTTTCAATTTGACCCAAACATTAGAAAACATTTTTTCATAACATGAAATATTCAAACATTATTCTAAATTTCAGACTAGTCTAAGTTAAAAAAAAAAAATATGTGACTGGGTTAAAAATTTAGATTGGTTTTGTGAGGCCATGTTAAAAACCGATCCATCAATCAATTGACTTTATTATTTTAGAAAATAAAATCATTTAATTTATTTGTTTTTTTAAATTGAGAGTGGTTTGGGATGACCTTTTTAATGGGATTTAAATTTGCTTATTGTTACTAATATACACAAACAGTAATAATGGTACAGCTGTTAAATTTGATTTAAATTATAATTCACAAAAGTGGCCGGCTATTTGGTCATTAAGTTCGTCCGTGTTAATATTTTTTTTTAAGACAATTTTTTTTTTAATTTCAAATAAAACTAAGCACGTTGCATTAGCTAAGTTCAATTTTTCATATCATTCCAGCCAGACAAATAATAAATAACTCAGGAGTCAGGACACCTTGTTGCGTTAGTAAACACCCAAAAGCAGTCACTTAAGTAGTCGTTCTTCTAGAAGCAGATATTTTAATAACATTTGCTTAGTAGGTAGTTAGTGTCGTATCCGAGGGGGGCTAGTGGTATAATGCTGCCGGCGTAGCAGCATAATTTAAGATTGTCAGTCTCTGTTTTTTATTTTAACTTGTGTGTCCCATATGATTATCTCTTCTTTTTTTTCCCCGTCAATCTCATATAATTCATTGACCGCCACTCTCTCTGCTCAGAGACAGACGCTGAAAGAAGCCATGGCCTCCTCAATCCTTGGCAACCTCTCGTCTGCGTTTCTCCCGAGCCAACTCAGCAAATCGAGCCGACCTCTTTTCACACCGCACTGTACCCCTACCTTTAAACGCACTAGTTTCGCGGCAAAAATTCGTGCCTCTTCTACCGCCTTTGTTGAGACCAGGCCAACGGTCAGCTTTTCGTTCTTCTCTTTCAAATTTATCATTTTCTTTTTTTCCCAAATCTTTAAGTCTGGATTTTTATTCTTCCAGCGCATAATTGCGCTTTTAAGTCAGTTTTTATTGTGATTACAAGTACCCCCCCTGATTTCTTTGTTTGGTTGATGAGAGAAATCAGAGGGAATTGAAGTGAAAGCAAATGTTACAGGCCTTATATTTTTTTTGTGTTCATTGATGAATATTTGAGAATTGAGATTATAGGTTATTTATTAACCTTGAATGATTAGTCATTGATTGCTCTTAATTGAAACATCTGTCTTTCTTATTGGATTTAGGATCCTGTGGTGGTTGAAAAGGATGTCAGTAGCAGCAAGAACATAGTAGCCTGTCCCGTGTGTTACGAGCCCGTAACTTTGATCGGTGCTAACGTCTTATCTGTGTAAGTTATTTTTAAAAATGTATGCGGAAATTGTTATTACCTTTGGCATGGAATCAGTGAGGGTCTTTAGATTTATGTTTGTAATGGTTGGACTTGGCACAGAGATTCTGCACGCGGATCTAGTTTGCTGTGCAGCACCTGTAAGAAGACTTACTCAGGCAAGGAAACGCATCTTGAATTGACGGTAGCAAGTGGGTCTAAGTCATATGACGATGCTATGCCTATGGCCACAGAATTTTTCAGGTGACGATGAAATAGTTATTGCAGTCTTTATGATTAAGATAGAGCTTGTGGACATGGTGCTTATAGTACATTTGGGTCATGGATAATGTTTATACATGTTCACACTAGGACTTTTGCAAGTTACATGTAAGAATATTTGTCCATCTTGGAGCAATGATCGATTATCAACTACAGTGACTAATTTCTTTTGAATTAATTCCGACCCATCATGCTTCACTAATGATGGCTAACTAGTCTTCTTAAACCATCTATCCTGTCAAGCAGAAGAAAGGGTCAAGTTACTTTTAACTAAACTTTGAGCCTTTTACGTTGGACTCTATTGCATTCTTGAGGTTCGGGGCTGCAATTCAATGATTGTAAATTTCATTTTGAAGGGGTTGGCGTTTGTTGAGTACCACAACCAGTCTGAACTTGGTTATCTTGGCTAGATAAGCGATTATGCTGGTCGCATTTGCAGATCCAGACAACCTATGCTGGAACTTCTTCTCTGGGAAAAATTAGTTCTTTTGGCATCTTTTACTTAGATACAGCATCAAATTTTGAAGAAAATTGTGGTTTAGTTTGACTTCAATGGTATTGTATGGATAAAAATTACAGTAGGAATGTTTAGTCATCACACTGATACATTTCATGCAACCACGCACAAGTAGTATGAGTGCCAAACATTAAAATTTTGGCTGTTCCCTTATTGTTTTTCTGAATCAGAACACCATTCATATCATTCCTTTATGAGAGAGGTTGGCGGCAGAACTTTGTATGGGGTGGTTTTCCAGGCCCGGAGAAGGAGGTAACAAGACATCTCTTTCTGAAAGCTTTCCCAGGAAATTTGTTTATTGAGTTGGAGATCTTATTTGTGGGGCAACCCTGTAAACTCACAGTGATCTGGGCTGCAGTTTGAAATGATGAAGGATTACCTCAAGCCAGTTTTAGGTGGCAATATTCTAGATGCTAGTTGCGGTAGTGGCTTATTTTCAAGATTGTTTGCCAAGAGTGGGCTGTTTTCTCTTGTTACGGCTCTGGACTACTCAGAAAACATGCTGAAACAGTGCTATGAATTCGTCCAGCAGGAGGAAAACTTTCCAAAAGAGTATGAACCAAAACTTTCTACTAATTTTGTTTATTATTTTGTTGGATGATCTGAATTCATCTCAACAGATCAGTGAAATTGATAATTGATATATCAGCTGCAATTTCTCATGGGATATATTGGAGTTTCTGTTGATAAAACAATTTGAGACTTCCTCTGCTCAATTAGTTTTGGCTTAAAGCTTGCTTGAGTTGAGACTCTATTTCTAATTGGTTTGATTTATTTTTTAAACTAATATTGATCACGGACAATGATTGTTTTTTTTATCTCTCTAGGAACTTTATATTGGTTAGAGCTGATATTGCTAGACTTCCTTTCGTTTCTGGTTCCCTTGATGCTGTCCATGCTGGTGCTGCTATACACTGTTGGCCTTCACCATCAGCGGCTGTAAGTTCTTCCTCACTTGTAGTATTTTAAACTTATATGTCTTTAGACGTTATATTATCATATTACTGTATATTGGAGATCAGTAACCACGGTTTTGACTGGCATGTAAAGCCGAGACTGGAGGGGAAAGACATGAGTCTTACTGCTCAAAGGAATCAGGCAGTTGTGAAGCTGAAGCTTCCACGCTTTGATGCCCGCATAACAGTTCTTTTGCTCTTTTTGTCAAAATTGTGGCTACCCATTGCACAATTTGTCAAATACTGGCTTATTGGTGACAATTTACTGTACCACGTCTTGCCCCTTTGACGAGCCTCGATGGACATTCTCTTCTGCAAAATTCCTATCTCGTTTTCATTTTTGGCCACTCTTAATTTTTCTCATGGTTTTATGGTGACAATAAACACACTGAAGGGCTTGAGACAATGAATGTTGGCTATATATTTGGCATCTAGCCAGATATCATATGTTTTCACTTCCCATCACTTACAAAAATATAGTATTCTGCTTATGGAAAGTGTGCTTTAAAAATGACTCCACTTATCTTTGCTACTTGCTTCTGTTACAAGTGTGCTTATAAATGATCCCACATTGCTCAAGTTTACCAGCTGACGATTCCATGATGTGATATCTATTCTTTAATTTGCAGGTAGCCGAAGTAAGTCGAGTTTTGAGGCCCGGAGGAGTGTTTGTCGCTACCACCTACATACTTGATGGGCCTTTCAGTTTCATCCCATTTTTGAAGCCTATAAGCCAGGTATGTGGTTCACTTCGAACTTGAACTGCTATACTTGAGGACTTTAGACAACATGCTCTTTTGGACATTTACGATAGAAAAAGTAGAGCTATTGTTAATGGAATCAAAACAAGTCAATTCGTCATAATAGTGCTTATTCATCCGTTTTCTGCAATGTATCATATTGTGGATTGCACGACGTGTGTTTGGCATTCTGTTGGCTTAAAATTTGATTTAAAAAAAAAATTAATATTTTTTTAAAGTTTTTAGATTTTTTAATGGGCTGGTATTAAGAATGAATTAAAAAAATATTATTTTAATATATTTTTAAGTGAAAAACACTTTAAAATACAACTTCTACCACTCTTAAACAGTCATTTAATAAAATAAAGCACAGACTAAGTTAAGCAAGAAAAATAAAAAGTAACCGCTGGGAACTTGACTGGCAATGCTCAAGGATTCAGCATGCTCTGTCAGTTTAGTGACATCTTCTGTATTCAGAAATGGTAATAATCTTACACCAAGATCATAAAAGTTTATCCGACAAGCTTTGCTTGAAGGATGCTATATCAAGCATCATATTTATGTCTTATTTAACCCATATATGGCTGGTGGATAATTTATCAATTTGTCTTCCATTACAGAGATTCACACAAGTATCAGGCAGCAACTTCTTCCTATCTGAACGTGAACTAGAAGCCGTCTGTAGAGCCTGTGGACTAGTTAATTTTACATGTACAAGAAATAGGCAATTTATAATGTTTTCTGCAACAAAACCCAGCTAAGCTTTCCGGGCTATTCTCATATGTTCGTCTCACAGTATTTTATTTAAAGAGCAGCGCTTTACTTCAATACTCGTTTGATCAGTTTGTTTCTCTTGTAATTCCAATGTATACCAATGTGACATTATTTTACCTTGAGAAAGTGTATGAAGATATGTATTATAAATAATTTTTGTATGCTGTTATCCCATAAGAAAGAAGGAAATAGAAAGGGTTACTGAATTGCAAAACATATAAAACTATGAAGATATAATTTTAAAGAATGAAATTGAAAAGAAATAAAGTTTATTTATTGAATTGCAAACCTTACAAAATAGACGGATCAATATTAAAAAAAGTAAAAAAGCATTGAATAGTCCGAACTCGTGAGAGTATGAATAATCTTGAAACAGATGGATGTTGCGTGAATCTTTATGACATTTAATTCCAGGTTATCGTGGGTATTATTTCCTCCTTTTTTTTTTCTTTTTTTTTTAGATTTATAACTTTTTTGGATCTATGTTATTTTTTCTTAATAATGATCTTACCTAATCTAGATTGAATCCTCCATGTTTGTTTGTGTGTTGATTTAAATTAGTATCTAGATCTATATTCTATGATTGTTTTACCGACTTGTTATGGTTCTGATACTTTTGAAGATTGTATCTTATTGGTTAAAAGATTTTACTATAAGATGATTGTTGTCGATTTTCCATCAGCAAGATCATAGCTGATGCATTATGATGCATTATGAGTTTCTATTTTAATTTATGTGAATATCTAGATTAATTTGTATAGTAAATATTTGGATTAATTTATGTATATCATAACTAATCACACGATTTATTAAACACTCTACGTAAATCAATAAATATTTATGCATCATAAGTTTTTTATTTGTGAACATGTAGGTTTTGTTTACCTGGTGCAACTGTGTTTTTTTATAAAATATATTTTTTTATATTTTTTTATTATTTTAATGTGTTATCAAAAATAAATTTTAAAAAATAAAAATATATTATTTTAATATATTTTTAGATAAAAATTATTTTAAAAAATAATTGTTATTATAATACCAAGCACTAATATAATACAATAAGTTTTTGGAAAAGCTGGAATTTTAAAAAGTTTAATATGTCATCTAAATTGATTAAAAAATAAAAAAGATTAATTGTTAAGTGAAAAGTTAGCTATTATTGATGTGATGATATTTTTAAAATAGGAAGATTTATTTTCTATAGTTATTTTATTTTTCATGATTGTAATGTGAAAATAGCAGTGTCGTCTACACTACATTTGGTGATAATGAAATAATATTTTCCATTCTAAAAAACTCTTTATGCTGTTTTGATTTTAAATGATTGACAATTATGTTTTTCAATTGGCAGCCTAATTAATGAATATTCGTGATGTTAAATCTTGCGTCATTTAACGCTACTAGGCCTTTACTTGGGCCTTTCATTAGGACACAGCACAATAAACCTTCCACCCTATTAAAGTTGAAGAGCGTTAGTTAGATTAAAGAGCAGCGCTTATAACGAATACGAGTTATTTGACTCTTGACTCTGTGGTTGTATATACATATTTTTTTAATATATTTTTTATATATAAAATTTAAAATGTAAATAGAAAATTTATATAATTATTCAATTAAATAAATTGATAACTATTTATGTAAAAAAATGTTAACAATAATTAAACAAAATTGAAAGATAAATATAAATTAAAATATTAAATCCATATTTTTATTAGATTAACGGTACATTAAAATTTAGCATATTTATAGCTGCAGATGGAAATAAGAAAAAGGGAGAGAGAAAATAAAAGGAGTTTGGGAGAGCTTGCTTGTTTGCAGCAGGAGCATTCCAGGATATACATAATCCCATTGTGACCAAGACAATCCCGTTACTGTTGATGGCTAATCAGGTAAAACCAGAAGAGGCAGTGCTGCCAGAATGATGGCTGGTGCAGAGGCTATTTGTGCTAGAACTATCCTCCCAGGATTTGGGTCGAGTGCAGAAAGGAAATCGATGACACCCTGAGACTCATAATCTGGAAAGATGGGAGTCTTAATAACTTACTCGGCTCCATGGAACAGGTCCTGCACGATCTGTTCGTTAGGATTTACTTGAATCTTGAATGCTAGCTCTCCTATCAGCATCTGACAAGTGTGGATCATTGGCCAAAAAGAAAACGAGCACACCCACTACAAATACTAATTATGCCGGCAATATCGAATGCAACCCTCCACCCTGGGATTCCCATGAAAGTTGCTGGAGCTATGACACAGAACAGAATCCACCGGTAATGGAACCAAAATTGGATGTTAGTTCTAGCCATCCAAAGGCCGTACCACGATTGCTATCATCAGTTGAATCAGCAACGAGGGACTGGGTTGCAGGTGCAACAATGTCGAGGCCAATGCCATTCAAAGCTCTAGATACGGCCACCTGTTTGTGAAAAGCTGAATGACTTGAAAAGGCACTCAATCAGCTGGTATGCTGAGGACTATTGTGCTTTTCTTGATAATTACCTAACAAAAATTATTTAAGAAATCTCAAACACATGAACCGGAAGTATTTTAAATATTTTGCGATTATTTTGGATTTGGGCACTTGAAGAAGCTTCATGCGCAAAGATTTTCTTTCTCGTGAACCGGAAGTATTTTAAATATTTTCCGATTATTTTGGATTTGGGCACTTGAAGCTTCATGCGCAAAGATTTTCTTTCTGTGATTACACGTATTTCACAGTACTGCCATCTTAACAGCCTCTTGTGATCTCCGTTTATGAAAAAAAAATCAGGTGACAGGCAACCTTCTTATTGCTTGTAGAGTTATAAATTCAGCACCTCAGTCGACTTAAGGGCATGCTCCTTGTACCTGTTAAAATCTGGTGACTTCATGGGTTTGTAATCTTCTCTTGTTTCCATAGATCAAACACAAAGCAAAATGTTTAATTAACCAGACAGAGCAAGGCATTAGGCTTGACAAAAGAATCTAAAAAAATTCAGTGCTTCATCCATTATCAGTGGTGCCGAATAGAACCTCTTCAGATTTAACTGTATCTAACAGATTTTCATATTTCAATCGAAGAATTTTCATCAACTGCCTGCAATGTCATGTTTTTTTCACGTTGGTCTCGATCACTAGCATAGAATACATCAGGACCTGCTAAGATTATTCTGATATTCTTGCACTTTAATGAGCCCAGATTGACAAAAAGATAAAATAAAATAAATAGTAACATCATTTTTTCCGAACTTTTTTTTCAACTAGCAGAGCACATCCAACTAGTATACTGCAAGACAGTCAAATAACTACTAACTGTCTGAAAAAGGGTTGTGCATGACAGCTATCGACCTAAACAGAGTCAAGGACCCCAGTCGAGTCGGGTCCTTGCCCAAGGTAGAACTAGAACCTACTTCTTTATAAACACCAGGCAGCAATGTCTCATCTGCTCTCTCCATGATCCCTGCTATTTCAAGGGTGTCTGACAAGTGAGCTTGCATGGAAAGCTGGGATTTGGAAAAAGTTTTTGTTTTTTTTTGTTTTATCACTTAGAAAAAGAGATAACATATTTAAGAATCATATATTATATCTGCAACTTGCTAGTTGCAATTGTCACGTATAATTCTCTTAAATTTTAAAAATAAATTAATATAATTTACAATAAAATTAGAAAAAAAAATACAAAAAGAGAAAAAAAAAACCTTGAAGTTACATTAAAACTTTGATGATAATAACACAAATATCACTTAAAAAAATCAATGAAACAAATTTAACGATACTAAAAAAAATCATGAGGAGTGATTGAAGCAGGCTATACAAAACACCTCAACTTGTCAAGTTTATCTACCTTTGGACGACTTGTGTACATACTCACGTCATTTTTTGTGATTTTCTTTAATGTTATTAGATTAATTTCTTTAAGATTTTTTTAATAATACTGGTGGTGTTATTATAAAAGTTTTAATATAACCCCAAGATCTTTTTATTATTAGTTTTTTCTCTCTCATTTATCTTTACAAATTACAAAGAAGAGAGAATATAGAAAAAAGCAAAGAATATAAAGACCCTCAAGACACATCAAAACTCTGATAATAACACCACAAGTATCATTAAAAAAACCTTTAAGAGATAAATGCAACGACATTAAAAAAGATCACTAATGATAATTAGAATATCTTATGTAAACTTTTCGAAGGCAAATAAGCCACAATATATTTGAATGGCTTACAAGAGCCCACTCTTATTCGTGACAAAAAAAAATTTTGATTTTTACAAGTTAGAGGATTAAAATGTATTTTTACGCTCATTTAAAAACATTATTTATTTTTAATGTATTTTTTAAGTTGATCCCGTGTCTTTTATTTTTAATTTTATCTCTGGCTAATAAAATTAATGCAATTGGTTCTAATTATTCAACTAAAAGACACAATTAAAAAAAGGAAAAGTCAAGGATATAAGTAAAAAAAATAAAAATAGTGATGCTTGGCCTTGTTAGTATATCTAGTTATATGATTAATTCTTCGGAGATTTGTATAGTCTTTCTTTACTGAGTGATGCTGGGCCTTTTGAGCCTCTAACAATTCGATTGATAGTGTTATGAAGATCAGGCTTTTAGGAAGAGAGTTTTGAGTTGATTCAGAGAGGCTAAATAGGGCTCCATAAAAGAAAGTGTTTTATGGGCAACTTACTGGGCTGATTATTACGAAGATTTACACAGATGAGAGAAACCTTCTCCTCTTCAAAGTTATGTCAGTGATGGATCCTTCACCACCGAGGACAAAAAGCTCAAAAGAATGCCACGTAAATAGATGAAAGTAGTATAGCTTATATAAATAAGGAGAATTGCGTAAACATGTGTGTTCGTGTGTATATTCAATCTTTGCGATATTTTCATTAGCCTAATTGTTTTTTAATTTATCATTATAAAATTTATTATATTGATTGATTTTTAATAAATCACGAGGGATTTGAGTTTTTCAGACAGAAATATCCCCAACAATTTGGATATAGAAGAACTGATTGAAGCATGTATTGATCACCGGAGAACACACTTGTATTCCGAAAAAGAAATTGAGTAGCCACGTGTTAAAAACTGAGGAATGTAAGATATAATGATAAATTGAGATAATTTTTCCTGTAAATAAATAATGAGCCTGAGGCTAAAGCAGAAGGGGGAAGGGACCCACGCTTAATAGATGTCT